CAGGAGAACATTGAGACACAGCAAGTGGTGGATGAGGCTGAGAGAACATTGAGACACAGCGTGGTGGATGAGGCTGAGAGAACATTGAGACACAGCGTGGTGGATGAGGCTGAGAGAACATTGAGACACAGCGTGGTGGATGAGGCTGAGAGAACATTGAGACACAGCGTGGTGGATGAGGCTGAGAGAACATTGAGACACAGCGTGGTGGATGAGGCTGAGAGAACATTGAGACACAGCGTGGTGGATGAGGCTGAGAGAACATTGAGACACAGCGTGGTGGATGAGGCTGAGAGAACATTGAGACACAGCGTGGTGGATGAGGCTGAGAGAACATTGAGACACTGCGGGGTGGATGAGGCTGAGAGAACGGTCAAGGACTTGGAAGAACTAAAAATACTGGCAAGAGACCGTGAAAAGCGCTGTGCTTTGAACGAGTTCCACAAAAGAACTCATAGGACAGATGTTTATGATGATCAATTAAACGCAAAAAATATATATATATATATATTGCTAACCGGTTAATTCAGATCATACATATGGTACGTACCTGTGTCCTTCCACTTAAAGTAGATCTTCACGGCCACCGTTTGATACTGTTTACCTGGCAGATCTTTGTCCAGCTTAAAATACGAGTTAAAAGCGTAGTTCCCCCCAGGCTTGACCACAATGTCCTGAGCTGGACCTTGCCAAGAGGCTGTCCTGTAGTTTTCAAATTAAAATGAAACGACATTTTAAAAAAAATAAAAATGAAAAGTAACCAGTTGTCGTGGAAATGAACTCTTTGCCACCGTACGAGGGGTGAACGATTATCTTGATTTAAGATTCTTTTAGAAACGTAAATTCAAATTAAACAACCCTTCAAAATGAAGTCTTTCGTATAAATCCCTTATAAAATGTAATATCGCGCAATGGGGGTGGGGGCTGAAAATTGTGCAAACATGTATTCAAGTAAAACATGTATTCAAGTAAAACATGTATTCAAGTAAAACATGTATTCAAGTAAAACATGTATTCAAGTAAAACATGTATTCAAGTAAAACATGCATTCAAGTAAAACATGTATTCAAGTAAAACATGTATTCAAGTAAAACATGTATTCAAGTAAAACATGTATTCAAGTAGTACATGTATTCAAGTAAAACATGTATTCAAGTAAAACATGTATTCAAGTAAAGCCCTTTATGAAAATCCCAATTAAAGTCCCCCCCCCCCCACTTTCCCAAAGCTCGCAATCGCTTATTTTTCCGCCCCTGAACTCTATTAATATTCTCATGACCCATCCGCTTTTAAACCGCAGATTTATTTCACCAACTATTTCAGAAAAAAAAAACAAAAGAAAATATTACGCACCAAAGTCACATGAGATATTTTTTTTTAAAAAGAATCTCATTTAGTGCATTTATCGGGAATTTTCCTTCGTGTTCCTTTTGAAAAAAAAAACAAACAGGAAAAATTATTTTTGTGGTTTGGAGTCTGGGGGTTACGCGGTGGGACTGAAAGTTTGAGAGAATGTGTGGTCATCGGCATCAAGTCTTTGTGACAAGGTTCAGCTTGATAGCTCGTCGGGAAGTGGGTCAATTAGCCGTCCAAATATTTAGCCAGCCACCCACGAACAAAAGCGAAGTAGATATAACCATTTCAATATTCTTGAGATTTTTCAGGTTTCAAAAAAAGAGAACCGAATACAAAAGCAATCTTAAGGATTTATTTTTTTTGTTTAAAGTAAAAGAAAGCAATAAAGTTAATTTTATTTCGCAAACGTCCAGACCGTAAGACTCAATGGGCAAGGGGGGGCTGTGACGCAAAACTGTCCCCTTATGCGTGGAAGCAATCTGCCCTAAACCCTGTTACTCAAGGCCGTGTTGCATGGCCGGAGTCCCCAGGGACTACTAGGCCATGTTTCACGGCCAAAGGTCCTAAGAGATAGAATCTCGACCTCCGAGTATTGATCTTTATTAGTCTGACACCTGTATGACGTTATTTCACTAAAAAAAAAAAAAAAAAAAAAATCTCTAAGAAATTTGAAAGAAACTCTCCAACTAACCTTCCGGTGCATTTGGCCGACGCCGTCCCACCGTGTACAGTTGACGTGTCCGCGGTCATGGTGAAAAGGTCGTGGCGCCAGTTGGCCACCCCGTTCTCAAACCCAGGGTTCTGGAGCAGCTCAGTGGCGCCATTGACACAGCAGCTCACGCCTAGAACCGCTAGGACGGCAACACTGAAACTCAACATAACTTATGTGTGGCCCGTGGGTCGACTCTCTCAGTTAAGATTTTATTCTTTTTTTTTACCAGATTCTTTCAACTATAGAAGAAAAACCTTGAAATTTAAATTTTTCAACACTGCAAACAGAGATATATATATTGTTGCATTGAGCTTATCTTTGAGGTCAAAATGGTAACTTAGATATCTATTGTTTGTTTTCTATTGTCTTTTCTTGTTTTGTTTTTCCTTAAATTAATTTGAGTGGAGAATTTGAATGTACATTTTGAAGCTTTTTTCTTCCTTGCAAGTTCAAGAATGAGATTGCCTAGGAGTATTAAAAACACATTTTTAGTGATAAGGCTTAATTGAAGAACGAATACTCTGCGTGGGAAGAGGCGTGACATTATTGCACCCGGGGCGAACTTAGAGTTTGCCGACAGCCCCTCCTCCCTTTCCGAAAACAATACATGAAAATTATAGGGCTTTTTGGCACAGTGGAACTGGAAATAAAGAACCTTTAAATAGCGATGTCCCTGCAACATACGCTACGTGTGACGACTGAGTTGTGGCATTGAGTTATATTTAGGATCATGGCTGAGTGAATTGTTTCGCTGCTGTTCTGTTAGGATCAGGACCCAAAAGCAGTGGTTTGTCAAGTGTTCCTTTATTATGTAAATAAAAAAGTGCAATCATTGCCTTTAATTCAGAGGCGTGGCAAGAGTGTTTGGCGCCCGGGGACAAGATTCACGCCTGGAGACATGATACATTTTAAATCACTCCCTTTCCTCCTTTTTTTTTTTTTGTAAAACGCACAAACCTATTATTTTCATCAACAAAAAAATATCAAAGCGCATTTTGGCGCCCCTAACTAGCTGGCGCCCCTAACTAGCTGGCGCCCGGGGACATCTGTCCCTCCCCGTCCCCCCTTCGCTACGCTTCTGCTTTAATGTGACCGTCGTGCTGGCTGACGACTTGTTTTGTTTTACGTCATTTCTCGCCCCCCCCTCAAATTACCCCACACAAAAGAAATGTTTACTTAACTGGGTGATAGTATTTAGGTTAACTTACCGGAAAGAATTGAGCCGATTTTTTTTTAAAGGTCTAGTAAGTCATATGTGTCGTAAATGATTGTCAATCAATTTTAAAATTGCATCTTTGATACCTTTTCTTTTTTGATGCGCTCGGTCGAGACCGCCGCCTACACCTATACAGAGTCCCCCACAAAAAAGTTACGCCAGGAGCGCAACGCCCTCTCCCCTTTCCTACGCCCCTGTGCCCGGATACAAGAGAACCCGAAGGTTAATATGTGAACGTATATTTCTTATTATCATTCGAGTCTTCGCAGGATCACTATTATAACAATTGAAGCTTTACCATCTAGGTGAACTCCGCTTAATCGATGGTTTAGTGATGTTTGTATTTCATATTCCAAAAATAAACTTATCTCAGCCTTAACTAATGGGTTCTTCTGTATCTGTACGCCACTTTCTTAGATATGTTGTTTTAGTTTAAGATAAAAAGTTGTAACTGAAAGGTAGATCGTTGGATTTAAAAAAAATCAAAACAGGTGGATGCTAAGGGGAACATATTATTTATTGTCATTATTGGGATATGGATCTGTGACTGGTAAAATTGGTTTGGATCTGTCACTGTTAAAATTGGTTTGGTAATGGATTTGATGGATTTGGAAATGTGGGCGGGAAATGATGTATAAGATGGAGGATCCGTGGGGTTGGAACTGGACAGGAACGAATTATTTGGTGTATGAAAGGTAATTTTTTATATATCTTGTATATAGGACGGATAATCAGGTGTAGAACATGTTTTTTATATGGGTCTGGTATAGGACATATTATTTTATATGGATCATGTATAGGAAAGGTACTATATGGATTTATTGTAGGACAGGTAACTAAATTATGTGTCTGATATAGGTACTATATGAATCTGGTGTAGGACAGGTACTCAATGAATCTGGTATATAGGACAGGTACTAAATGAATCTGGTATATGACAGGTACTATATGGGTATGGTGTAGAACATGTTACTATGTGGATCTGCTATAGGACAGGTAAAATGTCAGTGGACAAGGTTGATACACATGTATTCGGACTGCTAAAATATTCTGATTAAGATAAGACAGACTACCCACCAGCGAGACGATATTGATTTTTACTTTCTTCAAGGGTAAAGCCAAAATTTACATGTCTTCAACCACGGCAGAAATACCTATTCCACTGTTCTACTCCCTCACCGAATTAGTGATATTAGTGATTTATCAGTGATGAATATTCTCGACAGTAAACTGATATTCGGATGAATACTGATTTTTAGGTGTGAAGAAGGCTCTATAGGTTCTATAATTCTTGCAGCTGACTCTCAAACAAACATAGATTATGCACATGTCATTGGTTAGATAACATCCACATCTACCACGTGATGTACCAGGATCATGGCCAGATGTTCAGGCACCCTTGAACGTGGAATGATCAGACACAGTGTGTCGCGGAGGTTCACGTGTGTATAATGGTATTGGGATGGAGATGAAGAAATATTTATCAGGTGGGTAAACAAATATTGTATTCCTTGTGTGTTTCATTTCACGTATCAAGCAATAAAGATATTTTTACGCGATAAAGATATTGTAACAATAATAAATCGCATAAATTATGATAATCACCGAACAGCAGTTATTTTTGCACCCAAATCCTTGACCGGTGCGTTCGCAGATTAAATTCAGTCATAAATAATAGTGTGAAGTGAGATTATTTTTTTAAAAAAAGAGTAAAGAAACATTTTTAAAAGTATATCTTTTTTTTTTTAATTAACAGAAAAGTTTTATACAAACAAACAAATCCATACACACACTTTTTTTAACAAAAGCATTTCTGATTCCATCATATTTATAGACGCATGGTTGCACTGTTTATTCATTTTTGAACAGAAGCTTAACCGTTGGAAAGTATGCGTATACAACATTTGACGAGTGTGTGACATCCTCCGAGTGATCTCACTCATCCTGCAAAGACTTCAGTCGACAGCCTCGCCATCGTCAGCATCATCAACAGACCGGGCGTGGAACGGATTTACTTTGGCAGGAACTTGAATTTGTTCTGAGATGTGAAACGAGATGAAGGGGTAAGCGAACTGAGTGCATGACAACAACGAAAAGGCGCATTATTGCTAATATCAATGTGTAGAATACTCGACGCTAACGTCTGTAAAGAAACGCGTTTGTTGGACAAAGGTTCTAGTCTCTCAAGACGTAAAAATCCTAGCAGAGGCGCCGACTTCGGCGTTATGGACTCTTCACGGGACATCAAGTTGGCAGCATAAGAACTTGTGGGTGTAGTCTGAGGAAAATCGACATCCAGTGCAATGTCTGAATGGGCGTTCAGTAACAATGCCATACTTCCCCGACCATGGCCGCACTTTGGTGCGTGTGTCTTCCGATTAACGATGTGTACCTTGTGGCTCGGTGAATTCCCGACGGAACACAAACAACACTCGCCAACTCATTAAACCTTTTCACATCCCAAACGCTTTCCTTTGACCATGCGGATCTCAAGAACCAGACATTTCCCCTGATCCAAAATGCGTTTCTTTCACCCTAAACAATACGCAAGAACACATCTATCAAAAAACATTTTACAAAATTCTTCATTTTATCCCAAATCCCATGACAAACGACATCGCATTACTACAATAAAGCTTTCTGATGCGCAAATTTGATGACCATTTACTAAATACTTGGAAAAGAAAAAAGGGAACAGTCTAGAGTCTCAAACATAAAATTTCCAAACGTCTAAAATACGACGGAAGAAATTTATCGTTAAAAAGATTTTAAAATTCACAAAACTAAATTTACACTTACGAGGTACTCCGGACAGTGTGACGTCAACGGTCGTGTCCGCCTTGCCCACGAAAAACGATTGTTTCTTGACGGGCTTGTCACGGTGCAGCACAATGACGTCATAGTTGCCCTGGAAGCCCCTGACGGTGAAGGATGTCCCCGCCGACAGCGACCTGTTCACGTGGGTGCTCCACTCCTGCTTGGTCAGTTGAAGGTATCGCTCGCCAGCCTTGTCCAGCTATCGTAAAAGACATTAGGGTGAATATATGTTACTTTTATACCACAAAAAAATCTAACAGGATTTGAAAGCCTTTTGTCGTATTTATTTTTTTATTGATTTACAGGGACTTGTTACGTCATGAGTAGTGCTTCATTAAATCTTATATAACGACGTCTGCCTGCTGCTTCTGGCGAGCCATGTCACCATGCTGTTTTTGAGCCACGTTTATCTTCTGCTTCTATTGAGCCACGCTGCTTGCTTTTTCTGTCGAGCCACCTCTACCTGCTGTTTTTGTTAAGCTATGTCACCTTGGGTCTTCCGCAGTTAATAGTTATGAGAACTATAATAATAGCAAATATTTAAATAGAAATACAACTGTGATCTCACTTGTATCCGGGCCGAAAGCCATCCAACATAACATCTAGATCTGTGTTTCAATTTGTGTACATCTGAAGACTCAATAACTACGAAGTGTCAAGATACTTTATGATAGCAAAAACTTGCGATAGTGGAAGAAAAACAACTGTCTTGAGTCTATGTATTGCGTAAATGTGCTATCGGACTGAAATAAATCTATTCAAATTATCTAGACGGGAAATTGGCCAATCATGTCCCATCGGTGAGATAGGTGAACCTGATGCTCTTCCGACACAATGACATTTAGTTGAGGCTCAAAGTTTGTACGTTCATCGAAGTTGTTTACGAGTGCTCATCGAGCTGCTCTCTAGCCAGATGTTACATGTTTCATTGTTTTCAATGTCACGTCACACACTCACGAAGTGGCCAAGACTGAAATGAATTCACGAAAGTGTTATTTAAATGAGAAAATCATCCACCTGAGAGCCACTTGTTGGAGTCTATCCGTTTTCGCTCTTCGTGCATGTCTTTCAGCATAAATTCGGATTGCCGCTCGATCCCTTCCATTGGAAGTTCAGGAGGATGGCATCTCACCAACGACACAACAAAACGGGTTTTGGTGGATTCTTTTGTTTTCACACCGATATCGGTCCTAAAAAACAGCTGTCGTTTACCGGAAAGCACTTCGTGGTCAAAAACTTGTGGAAATGGTCCTTTTACTTACAGCGCGATTTCTTCACAACATTTAGTTGGGATCAAAAATTCCATTTTATGTATACTAACGAATAAGAATTTTCCGTTAGAGAATTACACAAGATGCTATATTTTCTTGACGATATTGCGTGGATAAGGGAACCAACACTGTTTTTACAAAAATTTTCATTTATGACAATTATGTTGGTGTTGATATCGTAAATAAAAAACGATACTATGTATTAAACTTAACGAGGTCCTGGCCAGTCGGATAAACCGAAGCCGCGGGCCGGATCCGGTCTGCGGGCTGTAGTTTGCCGACCCCCGTGATCTGGACGATTATGAAAACTTATAGAATTGTTGAAACCAATTTTATGGAGTATTTCCAATGACCAGTAGTATGATGTTATAAACGAGCGATATATATAAAATAGGCCGAAAGTTGAAAATGACTTTTGGCCGAAACCGAAAAAGGCCGAAAGTTTAAAAATGACATTCGGCCGAAACCGAAAAAAGGCTGAAAATTAAAATTGAATTTCGGCCGAAACCGAAGCCGAAACCGAAAATGAAATGTAAAGATATTTTGAAATTCGTTCCCGCATACATTCTGCATACATCGAAAATGATGGGGGAAATTATAAATATTTACATTCTTTTTTATAAAAATGAGATAATCGTGAATATTAATAAATAAACATCTAATATAGGGGTCTCAAACTCGCGTCCCGCGAGCCATTTGTGACCCGCAAGACGATATTGGCGGCCCGCTACATGACAGAAAAGTTTAGGGTAAATGCGCCGGCCCGTTTCCCCCATTCTCATATCTAATAACGTGACTCTCCGCGACGGTTTCAGTCGAATCTCACCACTAGTTTAATTCTGATTTTTTTTTTTTTATGTTTCTATATATTTTTGTATGCATTAGTAAGTAGGTGCATGAAAGTGAATCCTAGTTCTTGAGAACCCTTAATGATTTTCTTGTTATTTATAAAGGTTGAGCAGATTGTAACAGTTATCACTTTTTTGTGGATTACTTGATGCGGCCCACTCTCATTCAGACACTACCTCCTGCGCCCGCCCCCCCCCCCCTCCCACGCTCCGCCTTTGCGATTTTGAAAACCTTTATCTAAAGAATACTTTGGATTTTTCCATTTTAATATAAAAGTAATTTAAATTGCTTTACATTTTTTTTAAAATTAGTATGGTAGGAGAAAATGTGGCAAAAAATGGGGTGGGGGGGGGGAATTAATGCAAAATATTATTTTTGTAAACCGTATCTCTAAAAATGTTGGTTCTAAAAGATCGCTTAATTTGTTTTAATAATATCGTTTAGCTGGTTGTTATTGATCGGTTAGTTAGTTCTTAAAGATCGGTGAGGTTTGTTCATAAAGATCGCTTAGTTTGTTCTAAAATATCGCTAAGTTTATTCTTAAAGATCGCTTAATTTGTACTAAAAGATCGCTTAGCTTGTTGTTAAAGATCGCTTAGTTTGTTGTTATAGACCATTTAGTTTGTTCTTAAAGATCGTTTAGTTTGCTGTTAACAATCGTTTAGTTTGTTGTTAAAGATCGTTTAGTTTGTTGTTAAAGATCGCTTGGTTTGTTGTTAAAAATCGTTTAGTTTGTTCTTAAAGATCGCTTAATTTGTCGTTAAAGATCGTCCAGTTTTGTTAATGATCGCTTTATTTTTTCTTAAAGATCGGTTAGTTTGTTCATAAAGATCGCCTGATTAGTTGTTAAAGATTGTTTAGTTTGGTCTTAAAGATCGCTAAGTTTGTTGTTAAAGATCTTCCAGTTTTTGTTAATAATCGCTTTATTTGTTCTTAAAGATCTTTTAGTTTGTTCATAAAGATCGCATTAGTTTGTTGTTAAAGATCGCTTAGTTTGTTGTTAAAGATCCCTTAGTTTTTTCATAAAGATCACTAGTTTGTTCTTAAGGATATTTTAGTTTGTTCCTAAAGAACATTTAGTTTTCTGTTAAAGATCACTTAGTTTATTCTTATAAACCATTTAGTTTACTATTAAAGATCATTTGTTTTGTTCTTAAAGATCATTTAGTTCGGTCTTAAAATTCGTTTAGTTTGTTCTTTAAGATCGTTCAGTTATTAAAGATCGCTTAGATAGTTCTTAAAGATCGCTTAGTTTGTTTTAAAGATCGTTTAGTTTGTTCATCAATGTCGTTTAGTTTGTTGTTAAATATCGTTTAGTTTGTTCTCAAAGATCGCTTAATTTGTTCTTAAATGTCGCTTAGTTTGTTGTTAAATATCGCTTTCGCTTTGGATTAAATGACCGAAAACCTGAGTCTAAGTCAATTTCGGCCGAAACCGAAGAAAAATCATAAGTTAACGTTTCACTTTCGTCCAAAACCGAAATTAAGCCGAAAGTTAACTTTTCAGTTTCGGCCGAAACCGAAACTTGGCCGAAAGTGATAAAATGGCCACTTTCGGCGCCGAAACCGAAGCCGAAGCAGAAATTCGGTCGGTCTCTACTCAGCTGTGAAATTTTCCTGTGCCGGGTGACCCATTTTTGAAATACAACAGCCCCAAAAATAATCGTCCGTTTCACTACTGGAAACACGTGGCGTCTGAAGCTATGCGCCCTCGACTAATGCATATACGCTTTCAAGGAAATTCAGTAGAGTTAATTTTGTCACACATTGTGTATGAATGTATATATATATATATATATATTAGAATTTTCCTCTTTGTCCACTTACAGTCAAGGAGGGGCCGTGTACAATAGCCCTGTCATGGTCCATGTAGTTGTCCCAGAAGCCCCAGAACAAAACGCCTTCAACGCTCTTGTGGCTGAAGTACATTCGCAGGATGTTCTCGTACCTGTGACACGAGGTAAGTTTTTTTGTTTTGTTTTTAAAGTTATTAAAAGGCAACACATGAATGCAAATTTTAACAAGGGAACTAATACTGAATTTAATAACATTTTCGCATTACGAATACTATAATACATTGCCATTGTTGGATTACTAATTTAATTCTGTCACACTTTTTTTTTAGATCTCTTTCGATTCCCAGTTCAGCTACAAAAGAAACAGCTGCTAAATAAACTTAATCGACAGATATTATTTGAAATTTATTTTTGGTTGGGGTTGGCATTCCACCTTGACAGGTCGATGGGTTCACATTAAACACGCGATCATCGTTGAATTGTAGGCATGACTGTGACTTATACAAGCATGATATGAGTATTGAAGGCATGACTGTGACTTATACAAGCATGACTGTGACTATTGCAGACATGATTGTGACTATTGCAGGCATGACTGTGACCTAGACAAGCATGACTGTGACCTATACAAAGATCACGGTGATTATTGTAGGCATGGATGTGACCTATACAAGCATGACTTTGACTTATACAAGCATGACTGTGACCTATCCTAGCATGACTCTGACTTATACAAGCGTGACTGTGACTATTGCAGGCATTAATGTTACTTATACAAGCATAAATAGGATTATTGTAAGCAGGACAGTTACTATTGCAAGGATAACTGACTATTTCAGGCATGACTGTGACCTTACCACGTGGCGCGTGTTGTTTCATCATGAGCCGCAAGGTCAAGTTCAGTGCCCCATATTGGCAGACCGGAACTTCCAAGAACATCAAGACGGTTCTGAAAGAACAGAAAAGAACATCAACAAATAACAACAGCAATCGGAGGGTTAAATATCTTGAACGATGTAACAACAGTAACAGCAGTAACAGCAGTGACAGCAGTGACAGCAGTAACATCCGTAACAGCAGTAAAAATGATCAAGCAAACAGGAGAAGGTGGGAGGAGTGAAATGATTGGAAGCTAGTTTTGAAACATGTACACGTCAACAGGGACACACTTGAAAAGGTGCACACATCAACAGGTGCACACATCAACAGGTGCACACGTCAACAGGTGCATACGTAAACAGGTGCACACGTCAACAGGTGCACACAAAAGCATTCTTGTCACCCTGTTTCTGAAGGTTCTTACTTTGACGAGCGTCATGTCCGGCTCGGCGTAGTTAGTGAAGTGACTCTGAACTCCCACACCGGCCAGTCCAAGATTGGCGGCCTTGAATCGGTTGATTTGGTACAAGTAGGCCTGGTATTTAGACGAAAATCATAAAAAAATATCCCCAATAAAAAGTAATGGGAATCGCCAAAAATAGGTTGCAATTAAAGGAAAGGTAACTACGGGGAATTTAATAAAAATTTAACAAGTGCTGATATTCCCCCTGGGCAGATATTTCGAATACATTACTTATTTACCTACAATTACATGCGTCGCTTAAAAAGCAAAAATTTGAGATTTAATAATTGAACACAAGAAGCCTTTGTAAAAAAAAATTTTTTTTTTAAGTTTTTTTTTTTTTAAATTCTAGTCACAGAATTATAAATCTGGGTATTGTGATTGCCAGAACCGTAGTGAGGCCAGTTCAAGTTTACGAGCTGTATAAAAGGAGACAACACAATTTAAACTCTGTTTTTTTTTGGTTGTTTTTTTTCATTTATACTCCGCAGATCTCTTATACATTTTATCTGTCACATGGCGTCCATTCATATTACAAACCAGCTCACCCGTGTTGAGATTCCCTGGGCCACAACGTTGTAGTCATTGAGGAAAAGCTTCGGTGCCGGATCAGCCGCGTGCACGGCCCTGTACAGATGCTGGCTGAACGAGTCGTCGTTGAGTTTCGACTCGTAGAAATGACCGTGGAGATCTTCGTTGTAGATATCCCAGTGGGCGAGCCTGCGGTTTAAAGTAGGTCTTGGTGAGAAAATTCTCTTTTTGATTATTGAGCTTCATATTGCTGGATTTGTTTTTTTAAAGGATCTTATGATTTTAATGTATCAACGTAAAAATGCAAAAAAAATATAGGTATTGACCACATTATATAAAAAAGAATATGTTTCCATAATGAATTTATATTTATTTGTAAAATTTAACGCACAAAATATTTTTTTTAAAATTTAATATCAATAAATTAATGCAATGTATGTGAGCGTTTTTAATAAACAAAAAAATCTCTTACTTCCCCTTGGTTATGTTCATCATATATTTAATGTGATTGTCGACCGTGGTCCTCAACGTTTGACCAGACAGAGGTGTCACCCAGCTTGGCTCGTGTCCAGGAACTGCCCAGAACATGCAGTGACCACGTACGTTCAAACTGTGATGCGTACAATTTTTTTTTTTAAATCAACCTATTCTATTACAGCATTCGGTCACCACACCCTCAGCCATTCCATTGCATACTTGTGGTTTTTTTTTTTTTTCCAATTAACAATACCATAATTCAGGTCCCCAGTGACATCGTCGTTTAAGTGTCATTCATGGCTCACAGAACCGCTGACTTAAGTTTCAGTTCGCTATTCAAATTTCCAAAGTAATTTATCCTAAATTTAGTTTTCCAAATAGAGTATTATCCACTCTGCTGATGTGTTTTTTTTCAATTAGATGCTACACTAGCATGATTAGGTCACTAACAGTACACAGTAAATAGTGATAGCATACGATAAGTTATTTTATGTTCATTTAGAGTCTAAACTTATGATTTAAAAGTTTAAATCAAATATGGCAACAAGTTGCAGGAAACGAAAATATAATGAAGAAAATAGAAGTTTTCTATCAGAATGGGAAGAGGACTTTGCATTTATCGATAAAGACGGAATATTGCTCGTGCTAAACGACCTTATTCTGATTGGGACTTTATTAAGAAGAATATCGAGGAAGTAATTTCAATATTAGATCCAAATAAATCCAGACTTGGGCGACTGATAACACAAATTTCAATGTCACGCTACACCACACGCCACACCACACGCCACACCTCTGAGAGACGTATTTCAGACATTAACGCTGATATTGAAGGAAAAGTGACGAACGATTTAAAGAACGGTGTAGCATCCAGTTTGGCTCTTGATGATTCAACAGATATTCAAGATACGCCACAATTGGCGGTGTTCGTTCGTTATGTTTCATTAGACGTGGCTGTAAAAGAAGAGCTATTAAACTTAGTGGCACTGAAAGATACTACTCGCGGCATCGATGTCAAGAATGCCCTTGATGAAACACTAATGGATGCTGGTGTACCAATAAATAAACTTGTAAGTGTGGCAACAGATGGAGCACCGTCAATGCTTGGTAAATATGTAAGTCTGATGGGGCTTTTAACTAATGATACAAAATATCCGATATTCTTCCTGTACACTGCATCATTCACAGAGAAAATCTTGCAGCCAAATATTTTAAATTCGAAAGTGTAAAGACAATGGTTCTACAAATTCTGATTTCATTCGTTCAAATGCAAAAAATCGTCGGCAATTCATAAACTTCATTGGTGAGCTAGATGTCGAAGACAAACCAGATGACCTTTCATTCCACTGTGTTGTTAGGTGGTTGTCTACCAGCAATGTTCTAAACAGACTTGTAGACTTGCTTGAACCCATTCCTGCTTTCCTTTAAGAAAAAGTCAAGTCTTATCCACAGCTGGCAGACGAAGATTAGATAGAAGATTTGATGTTTCTACCTGACATTATGTAGCATCTACAAAATCTGAACCTGTCGTTGCAAGGAAAGGATAAGCTTATTTCGGATCTTATACAGAATGTTTTCAGCTTTCAGAACAAAAATACAGATTCTTCAAAGAGATATCCTGTCAAGTGAGTTTAAGCCCTTTCCTCGTCTTCAGAATAGAGTTAGCTCATACTCTGATGGTGGAATTCAACTTAGAACGTTTGGGGCATATAGAGATAGGTTACAAGGATCACTGGAAGATTTCCAAGCCAGGTTTAATGACTTGCACCAACTAAAATCCTGTTCCGCTTTTCTCATAAATCCATTCATGATAGACGTAATTAAAGATGGTTTCCAGCATCCCATGAACATCCTTATGGAACCTTCTGCTGCTGAAATGGAGCAGAGTTACAGGAAGATCAGGTTTTGGTGATGATACACAAGTCACTATATGTGATGGATTTCTAGAAGCTCGTGCCAGAAGTAAAATATCCTCAACTTAAGAAAGCTAGTTGCCGACTTATATCCATTTTAGGTACAACCTACTGCTGTGAATCTTTGTACTCCACAATGAAGTTCATAAAATCAAAGCATCGAGCAGTAACTAGTAACCAGCATCTGACAGAACTTCATCGCAACACAACTACTAGCTACCAACCAGATTTAAAGAAACTTGCTAGTTCAAAGGCTTCTCAGCATAATCATAACAATTAATGTTCACTATAATTATGAGTATATATGCAGTGTGTTTCTATTCATACATTTTACATATTTAAATATTTGTTAATTGTGTAACTGTAACGCATATATTTCTTCAATTGTGTAACTGTAACGCATATATTTCTTCAATAAACGGTTAGAGTTAAAACAATTGAAATGTTTAAATCATTAAATTCGAATAAAAAGTAATTTTTTTTAAATAAACCACAAAAGGAATTTTTCATTGCGAGTGGGTCGTGACCCCTAGTGCGTCAATGCGGCTCTCAACAATTATTTTTTGTTTATGTTTAATGGCTCTCAGCTACTAAAGGTCTGGCCACCCCTGATTTAGACTGAAGAAAGCTTTTTGCCAAAACGTTCGTTGTTCCATTTTTTGTCTCCCCCCCCCCTAAGCTTCTCCTATATCTTTTGCAACTTATTTCCATTAGCCAACCTGATTCCAGCCTTCCACCACCCCAACCTCAAACTATACTGAACAGTGAGAGAATATAATCAGATAATGATACAGTGACTTATTACTTATAAAGTAATTGAGTTCGTTGGTTCATTGGACTGTAATAGTGTAAGATCTAGATGAAGATCAGCTGTCAAGAAGGGGGCTAAAGGTCATGACGCCAGTAGGATATCCACAGCTGAGACACGCAGGCTATCCCGAAAGAGCAATATTAGATCACCGACTGCAGCAACTATCCCCTTCCCGCGGTGACAGAGATTATTCCGGGCACTGATAGGACTAGCAAGCCACCTACGAACTCACCATAACCCACCCTCCCCCCTCTAACCAGATGACTGGATGATCCTAGTCGATGTTGACGGACGAACAACAACTACAATGGTGTAAGATCTATACACGAGTATTATTATAATTTGGTGTTTTTTTAATAATTCAAAATAAAACACTATAACTTACCCAAGTCTTTTGAGTTCATCCGTAGCGGCAACAGCACGTGAGAAATCAGGATGTTGCTGATGGGGATACCGCATGGACGAGGTAATGTGATTTATTAAAATTTATTGAAGGTCTTTTTTTTAATTTTTCATTGGAAAATTGATCGTTTGGTGCTGAACTAACAAACAAAAAACCCATGTAAGCTAAACAATACCTGTGATTCGTCGCAGATTTGATCAGAGTCAACCTAATTACAACAGTATAAATAGTATGATACGGAATTGTGTTATTTAATTATTTTTTAAAACTGAATTAACTCGGTAATCGGAACTATTTCTCGAGAGAAACATATCACAACTTACATTTCTTAATAACTTAATATTTTATATTTATTGTGTATGGCGTTACAATACCAAAAAAAGTCTTTTGGGAATAAACGCCTCCTCCCCCCAACCCCCCTTTTCCCAAAGCCCAACAAAAAAAAAAGAGAACTGCAATCAAACAAAAATAGGTTTAACAAATTAACCATTTATAACATAACACGATAAGAACAAGAAAAGCACAACAGCAAGACTACCTGCACTGAACGACATATTATTATTTGAGATTCTGATTTAGGTGCGTAAAGGATGCCTTTTATTATTTTAATTGCCTGACCGGGGTCTCAAACTCACGTACCTGTGTGCCCTTGTCAAACGGCCACTTGTAGTCCTGTAAGACTGCCCAGTTGAACATGTAGGCGACGATGTCCTTGTACTTCTGTTGGCTGGTTCCGATCATGTAGTCGGCGCGCACCAGTGAACCGAAGCCGAACAGGTGCTTTGTGTGCTCAATCTGCTCGTGAGATGTAAAGGGTTAATTGGAACGGAGAACATTGAGTGTGCAGAGAATGTCGTGGAGATTTTTTAGTGTTAATTAATGAGTTGATTTCTAATACCTAATAACTATTTAATGTAATATTCATGTATTTTTTTTATATTATTTTTTATTATTTGTTTCAGCCCTTTCGGGTGCTACATGTCAGCTTAGGGCTTTTTAAAAAATTTAATTCAGTTGTTTGTTCGCTGACAAAGGCTTCCCGTCGACACGTTCTGTTTTTTTTTTTTTTTTTGCGATCCTTTTCCTTTAGGTTTTACATTATTTTTATTTTTATGTCAGCTTAGGGCTTTTTAAAAAATTTAATTCAGTTGTTTGTTCGCTGACAAAGGCTTCCCGTCGACACGTTCTGTTTTTTTTTTTTTTTGTGCGATCCTTTTCCTTTAGGTTTTACATTACTTTTATTTTGACTCAACCTGATTGCAGTCTTTCCAATTATTACCCGACCTGTACTTTTATCAATCCCAAGGACTATAGTTTGCAAACATGTGTACTGTTGGTCTTAAACATAATACAATGGAACCCTCTGTTGTTGTTGCTGTTTTTTTAAACATAACGTACCCTAACTTTGACGTCACTGGGGCTATAGTTGGAGTCCAGATGAAAACTGTTGGATTAAAATTTTCTTTAAAAATATGCGTAAGATTAATTCATGTTAACTACTTGGTGTTGATCTGTGTGCGTGGCACAGCACCGCACTTAAAGGGGGGGGGGGGGGGTGGGTGGGGGGGGGGATAATGGTCAATCGGAGTTCCAACGTTGGTGTCGGTTCAAGAAAATTTGGTCTGGGAAAGGGGCGGTGGGGTGAGGGCAAACAAACTTGAAACTAAAGTTCAGCTAGTTACTTCCGGTAAGTAAAAAAAAAAAAACGAAGAGTCAAGGGGTAAAGAAGATTTTTTTAACAAAAGGGGGAATAAGACATTAATTATTTAAAGACAGGCCTGTGAAAACGTCTGAATTAACATCTAATTACAGAGTTTAGTGTTTTTTTCCCGGCCATCAATAAGGAGGAATAACTTGAGTAATTTCTTACATAAATTAATGAAGACGTGTTGTTGTTGAAACACCTTTTTAGCACTAACATTCGACCTACTTTATTCTTAAACAGATTACAGATTATTATACATTTCTAGCTAACAAAACTTCTCTAATCTTTACACTCTAATCTCTAGCTTACAACCTACTCTGAATCTCTGACTTCCAACTAACTGCAGTCTCAAATCACTAACAATCTATTCTAATTTCCGAACAGCTCACTTGAAGTGGATGTTGCTCTTCCTGGTGGCTTCTATCCTGGCGTTGGCGTCCGCCTTCCAGTCGGCGCTGACCACGATCTCGTTTAGAGACATGTCGTCGATGTAGAAGTCGGCACTCGGGAGGGGGCCCTCGACGTACACTCGTGCTTGGGTGTACTCTTGTCAATATAGAGAAGAAACGAGCTCTTTATGACATCGCACATTTCAGTAATCTTATACATTTATACTATTTCTATATCTCTGATTATAAAGTTTTTAAAGAGTTTCTACAATTTAGTTAAAGAGAAATAGGCATTTCGTGCTAATTCGGTGCTTCTCAAATTGGGAACCCTCGGCCCTTGATGAAACGTGGATACGTCGCCCTGAAAATTTTGAAAAGCCCCGGCTTAACTGATTTGAATTCTTACATTAGTATCGACGATTGACTGTTTGAAACAGTTGTCGCGATGAGCTCTTTAGCTGTTATCACCTGCTTGCACTCACCATTGTTTGGTACTTTGAAGTTCCCGCCGATTTGGACCCAGTCGTCCGCTGCCGTCATGTAGGAGTGCTTGGAGACCCGGATGTACTCGTCGGGCGCTGAGTTGTGATATAAAAGTTGCCACGGCCGTGAGTAGATAGGCAATATTATTAAGAAAAGAAAAACACGCCCCCGTATTCCCCCTCCCCCTCCCTCAATGTCAGAATAGAAACCTCTACTTGTGATGATTGCTATAAAGGGTGGTTCTCAACAGTGTCCAAAAAAAAAGGGAGACCTTTTTATAAAGATGAAAACTCATTTGTAAATATTCATTTACATTTTTTTCAATTCCAAAAACCATTTTAAATCTAACAATGTTATTTTTAAAATTTAAATTAAGGTTTGTGTTCCAGTTGTCCACTATAAGCTTGACCCCAGGCTTCAAGACGCGCTGTCCAAGGACCAATTATTATCAAAAGGGCTCCCTTTTTTCTGGACACACTGTAGATTGCGTGCGTCACTACGTGACAAGTTAATTGTTGTATTAGTGTTAACTCCAGTTTTCTCAAACGTATTTTTATGTGAGTATACTATTTTTGTATATACATTTTTTAAAAAAAAATTGGGTAACTGTTGCTATACTGACCACCGCTCTTCGGCTTCAGGGCGACCGTGACCACGGGCTCTTGGTGCGAGTTGACCCCTTGGACAAACTTGATGAATCCGGTGATGGTGTAGTAGCCGCCAGATTTAAGATGGACGATTTGGGCCGGTCCCTGGATCTTGCTGGTTCTACATGGAAAGTCAACAAAATTTCGGGAGATTAACAACTTCGTAGTAGCATTGCATAACGCAGGCTGGGCGCTGGCTCACTTTAAGGATGACCCACGGGCCAGTCAAGGAATAAGAATCTCTAATAGTTATTAGAAATGACGTATATGTCAAAAGGTTGTGTTGCTGGGCTCAGGCCATAAATGTAATCTCGCACCGTCGGTATTTCTGATGTTTTCAGTTTGCTACCACTGAAAAGCGGATCAAAATGTGGCCTGTACGTGTCTTTTGGAAACCCACTTTTCACTGACTCTAGGAGGTTGATAGCTATTTAAACGTGTGTATATATATATATATATATATATATATAACGTGACCTCATTCAATAACTTTAAGATATAATATCTGGTTCAATCTGGTTCACCGAATGCTGCAAGCCTGAAATGAGTTACACTATTTCGGTGGCATACCTTGACTAAACTCCACCTTCAGGCAATAAACCCCCCAAAAGTGTGCCCCCTTAACAAACACACACATTATCTATGTAAAGTAATATATAAATCCCACAAAAATACCGTCTAGGGCGGTCGCTCCCTTCACCACACCCGAGGCACCTCACGATGATTTATCTACGGAGAGATTTACACCCTAGATCAAATGTCAGATCCCTGATTTCCCTATTCCAAAAATATACATGGTTTCAACGTTGATTTGAGAGTGTGTGAGAGAAAACAAGATGGAGGCGTCCAATGCATGAAAGCATCACCTCCATCCCCATCACTGGCGGTCTCTTTGTTCATTCTTTGTTTCGCTGTTCATAGTCTTAATATTTATGTGATTTGGCGTTCACCAGAAATCCAGCCCTGCGTACCTTTAGATCTCTTGTTTTCTACAATGAGGTTGGCCATAATGCCGAGGTCTTGAATGGTTCGTATTTTCAACAATTATTACAAAACACTGTATATGTCGGAAAAATATGTTCTCAGATGTGTTAAGAGCTGTATGACACTCGGATAGGTTAATGCTGACAATGCGACTCACTTAACAAATGGTTTTCGAGCTTCCAGCCAGAGCCGTCGCGTGATTTGTGGAAGGCCACCTTCCACCTTTCGATTTTGTGCTCCCTGCCATCAAAACTGATCGATTAATTTTTTTTTTATTTTAACACATCGCAACTTTGAGCCCCTTAAATAGCCTTGGCTCCTTGCAGCCTTAGGGGGTTGAAGGTCCCTCGCTACGGTTCTTGTTCTGAATAACAAATAACTTCCTCCCGTCTATAAATATTACCTACCTACTCTCAAAGTAAACATTTTATAATAAAACTCTGAAATGTGTGCGTAACTATAACGGTTTATTAGTCTAATTTGTGCTTTATCATCTTTTACCGTTATTTCGAATACAAACAACCTGGTACTAACCGTCCGGAGCATTTAACGGCCGCGTTTCCGCTGTGCACGTGACTGGTGTCAGTGCTCAGGGTGAAGCCGTCACTGTGCCAGTTGGTGATGCCGTTCTCGAAGCCAGGGTTCAGGAGGATCTCAGCGGCGCCTAGTGCAAGGCACAGCGAGAGTGCCACCAGCAGTACTAGTCTTTTCGGTAACGTCGCCATGTTAGACAACTCCAGATCTCCTTTCTGTCAAATCGTGGGCTTATAACGGTTTTTAACTTGTCTTTTTAAAAAAAAAAGTAAGAAATATTTTGTCAGTGCTTCTCATGTTGTAAGATTACAGAAGTTAATACAACGGGAAATTTTTTTTTTAACGCATCCGTTGATGTTTACAGTTGTTCAAAGTCTCCCACAAAACCATGACAAGAAGAAATCACAGAAAAATGGATCTGGGACTTAATTCAAATGATAAATCCTCCCTGCCAAAACTGTTCATCAATGTGTTCGGTGTATCGCTAATTTATGAAAGATAGCATTTCTGCAAATTTGTTAAATGAAAACTTCGCAGAGAATAAATGCCAAAAAGATTTCTTTCAAACTTCATCCGCCTTTTATTTTTTTATATTATATTTTTGCTTGAAAGGAATTAAGTAACCTAATTTTAGAACTACTCATAAGTGAGCCACACACCTGCACAAAAATTGAAAGATAACATTATTGATGAGACGCTATATAAAATAAAAGGGGGAAAAAAATAGTACATCATGTTTTCCATAAAATTAGGGCAACTATCTCTGACCAAAGAACTCACAAACAAAAATGGCCTTTGTCCTGCATTTTTTTTTATTAAGGCTGGAATCATTAAGTTCAATTATATGGTGAACGACCACGAAGGGGAAAAATAAGTGTTTTGAGTTTGTTACTATCATTTCCGCTTTCATTATTAGCCTTGTGGTTTGGCTAAAGTAAACATGGATTTGATGACTATACCGTGAATTGAAAGGAAAGAAATTATTCAGAGCAAAAGTATGCATTTTATTTTAAGAACTATATTATTGGTTCTGTTTTAATCAGCCCTAATCAACTTACTGGAATCGAGTTTAGCAGCAGCAAACATGACTTTGAATTCAACCCAAATTGTAAAAAGTAGGCGGCAACCACGGGGAAGCTACTCCGTTTTACAAATATTTGGACGTACCCGCTATTTAAGTCGACGACACAGGATTATAGTTAAGTCAAGTTTCGCGATAAACCTTTCATTATATTTTAATAAGAAAACCATTGTTCAAAGTCCAATTTCACAAACTAGCGACCTGATGGTCTTGCTCGGCCTTCCAATTAACAACCCACGACAGCAAAGTCTTTGTGCCGTTCCCTCTTGAAGCAAGAGAAAATAAAGGTACGGATTTTCTCGGGGAGGGGGGTGTACACCTACGGAGCCATTTGAACAGCTTGAGTGTGACACCCCTAATTTGAGACCGGGTATGGCCTTGGAGAACTTTCATTGTCATAATGACTATCATTCATTACTTTAGTGGTTGTTGTTGTTTTTTCTTTCATTTTTTAATTTATTTATTTTTAGCTTTAATAACCGTGGGTTGGTCAAATAAATATATTGGATGCTTGTATCCACTTCGATGCAAACAGGATAAGCTAGTGTCTTTTCATGTGATGTATCTAAGATAATAAATACATAAAAGTGCTGGCCAGCGGAATTGGCTTTATTATTTTAAAAAAAAATATTTTTGGTAGTCAATACTAAACTTTTAAATACAATTTAAAAAAAGATCTTTTTTTTAAAAAAAACACATTTTTACACACTTTTTATTGGGAGTTGTTGTTTTTTCCTTTGCTTCTTTTTTCTTTTTCTTTTTTCATTTTCTATGGACAATCATTAACACAACTCGATGCATTTACAACCAGCATCAATATTCTGGCGTTTTTTGTTTTTGTTTTTTTTTTAATCGGCATCGGAGCTTTGGTAGGCAGAAGATACATCCTTAATATCTTAGCATGAATCACTCAAGAGCATATTACCGGCGGAAAGGGGGGGGGGCAGTAACATTAGAAATGTTACACGTAATTCCCACAACCCAACGACAGTTGGTCGTTTGAAAAATAAATGGACCCAAACGAGTTTTGACACACCTTCTCAAGGCATGTATTCACTACCGCTCGCAATGAGTCTAGATGATGCCCTGATCAACCTTTGCCCTCGAATCCTCTACGTTCCCATTTTCGTCCAATCAACTTCTCTACATTTCCATTTCCGTCCCATAAACGTCTCTACATTCCATTTTCGTCCAATCAACTTCTCTAAATTTCCATTTTCGTCCAATCAACTTCTCTACATTCCCATTTTCGTCCAATCAACTTCTCTACATTTCCATTTTCGTCCAATCAACTTCTCTACATTTCCATTTTCGTCCCATAAACGTCTCTACATTTCCATTTTCGTCCAATCAACTTCTCTAAATTTCCATTTTCGTCCCATCAACTTCTCTACATTTCCATTTTCGACCAATCAACTTCTCTAAATTTCCATTTTCGTCCAATCAACTTCTCTACATTCCCATTTTCGTCCCATCAACTTCTCTACATTCCCATTTTCGTCCAATCAACTTCTCTACATTCCTATTTTCGTCCAATCAACTTCTTACATTCCCTTTTTTCGTCCAATCAACTTCTCTACATTCCTATTTTCGTCCAATCAACTTCTCTACATTCCCATTTTGGTCCAATCAACTTCTCTACATTCCCATTTTCGTCCAATCAACTTCTCTACATTCCCATTTTCGTCCAATCAACTTCTCTACATTTCCAGCCTCGTCCATTCATATCTCTTCTGCTCCCACCATCACCCAAATATAAGTTCATAGATATTTATTTGAATAAATTTCATCTTTCACCCAGTTTCATACACAAGCAGTAGTCCTCTGTTGTTACAATTGCCACCCGCAAACTTCAGCTGTTATCATCCCCAATTCACTCTGACTGCTGGCGTACAATGTTCATCAAGGGCAACCTGACATTCCATATCTTTCAAAAAATACAACGTCTCCCAGAGATCACCTGGCTTGCCGTCCCAGTACCCGTTAAAAAACCTTCTAGCTTAGCTCTTTTAATCAGCTAACATCCTCAAAATGTATACCCGTCGGTCACACAGTTGAGCGTACTAGGTTATATAGCTTTAGAGTTCACCCGGCTGGTGAATCCTGCTGCCAGCATTTTTTGAGAGTCATTGTCTTTTTTAAAATTATTACTTTTATTTTTTCAATAAAAGACGACACACAGAAAATAGATGTTTGAACATCTAATTCCGATAGGGAAAGGTTAAAGATGTGGAGAGCTGATGTTATAGGTGGGGTGAAATGATGTTATAGGAGGGGAAAACTTATGTTATACATGAGGAGAGCTGATGTTATACATGGGGAGATCTGATGTTATACATGGGAAGAGCTGATGTTATACATGGGAAGAGCTGATGTTAGAGATGGGGGAGATCTGATGTTAGAGATGAGGAGAGCTGATGCTATGCATGGGGAGAGCTGATGCTATACATGGGGAGAGCTGATGTTATACATGGGGAGAGCTGATGTTAGACATGGGGAGAGCTGATGTTAGACATGGGGAGAGCTGATGTTATACATGGGGAGATCTGATGTTATCGATGTGGAGATCTGATGTTTACGTTTTTAACTCTGTAATATAGCAACAACAACAAAATGTATACAAGCAACCATAAGATAGTGTGCACATGTGCAAGTGTTTAATGAGCAGTGCGTTCGAGACATTATATGCCGGAACAATCCCGTTAATTTCAGTTCCAATCTGCTTCCATCTCCTCGGATCTCTTGTGGAACGGGTTTGTCTTGGCGGGAACTTGAATTTGCTCTGTGAGGATATGCAGCAAGGGATTAGCGCTGAGGCAATCCGATGTTGTTGGGGTTTTTTTTAACAAGATGTCTTTCATTCGAAGTCGCAAACAAGACAACTCATAACAACAGGAGAGTGATTCAGTCACAGGACGACTTTATAAGTTACAGCCAACAGTGTTACTTCAATAACCTGACGTCGGCGACATGACGTAAAAATTATGACTTTAGCAAGGTGACTTTAACGGGATGACTTTAACGAGATGACTTTAACATGATGACGTTAATAAGATGACTTTAACCAGATAACTTAATCAAGATGACTTAAACAATTCGACTTTAATGAGGTGACTTTAACAAGATGACTTTATCGCGACGACTTTAACGAAACGACTTAAACAAGATGACTGCAACATGAAGATTTCAACAAGATGACTTGGACGAGACGACTTTAACAAGATGACTGTTACAACTTTAACTTTACTAGGAATTGTTAAGTAATTTCATTTACCCCCCAAAAGGAACTAAAAAGAATTCTAATAGTGTCTTTGCCAGCACTGTCCTCACTTAATATTTCCGCTAAACCTCACAGACAGGTCTAGAGCTTGAATTAACATGTTATTTCTTCTTATTTTTGATCAAATACACAACTGTTATGTTCTAATGCCGGATCCACTTTAGATGTAATTTTTTTTTAGACACTTACGAGGTACTCCTGACAGTGTGACGTCAACAGTCGTGTCCGCCTTGCCCACGAAAAACGATTGTTTCTTGACGGGCTTGTCGTGGTGCAGCACAATGACGTCGTAGTTGCCCTGGAAGCCCCTGACGGTGAACGAAGTCCCCGCGGACAGCGACCTGTTCACGTGGGTGCTCCACTCCTGTTTGGTCAGTTGGAGGTATCGCTCGCCGGCCTTGTCCAGCTGTCGACGAAATCGGAACAAAGAATGATATCATCTTTATAATTTCAACTCATTTTGGCTTGGGACGTTTGAATCTCTTACTTGATCAATGAGGATATTGAATATGGTGGTTTTTTTTTTCTCAATTTAATTTTTTTAATATCGTTACTCTAAAACCAGGCAGCGAAATAACAAACAAAATGGTGAGTACAGTCTGAAAAAAAAAAACTTGTTGAGGCAGCTTGCCTCTCTCCCTCTCTCTCTCTCCCCCTCTCTCTCCCCTTTCAGCAAAGCTTACCGTGAAGCCTCCCCCGTGGACCAGAGCCTTGTCGTGCGGCATGTAATCATCCCAGAACCCCCAGAGCAGGACGCCCTCGACGTTCCTGTGGCTGAAGTACAGCCTGAGGACGTTTTCGTACCTGGCATGACGAGAGAGACATAACGTGTCTTAGTGCAAGTCAAAGCGTTAAGGTCGCGAACAGGGCAACTCCAGAGCAGATTGAAAGACAGAAAACGTGGCTGTGCATACATCTGTTGAAGCGTTATTTACGACATTAAAACATTTTCAGGGGACGTTCCCGGCAATGCCGTTACTCTTCCAAACACAAGTATCCATATACCACGGCGTAACCGGGTGCAGTTTTTTTTTTACTGCAGGTCCAGGTATTTTGAGAAACATACTCGGTGGGTCCAAGTGGTACTACAAAAAAAAAAAGAAAAAAAAAAGAACGTAATTATAATTTTCTATAAACAATGGGCCTACAGAAAGTACTACACCCTACCTGCTGGCTTTTAAAAAGTAGTCCTACAGACAATCCTACGCCCTATCTGCTGGCATATCAAAAATAGTCCTACATACCGTCCTACACCATATTCGTGGTTCTTTATGGANATAATAATAATAATAATAATAATAAAGTTCATTTCAAAAACACGCTTCATCCTCAAAGGCTCGAAGCGCGGTACAAAGTCAACAAAAAACAAATCTATAATTTACCACATTTAAAACAAACGCAACACTACAAAAACTAATTACAAGCATACAATGTCAAAGTCTTTCAACCCATTTCAACCGTGAGCAACACAGCCATTATGCATTAACTGGAAAATATGGTAGACAATCATCCCAGAAGGTGTTTGCGAAATAAATGTGTCTTTAAATCGGTTTTAAAGGACTCCAGTGTCTGGATGTTTCTGAGATCGAGTGGAAGGGCGTTCCAAATTGTTGGACCAGCAAATGCGAAAGTTACTGATATACTATTAATATAAAATATGTTGAATAGGGGGGGGAGGGCGGCCGGTTGTGAAAAGGGGAGCAGGACACACCGGACGTAAAATATTTATTATTTTTAAGAGATGTCCAATGAACATGGAGTAACTATAACGTGCCTCGCTGTTCTTCGAGCTTCAGAGAACCAATATTTGTTCTTTCAAGATGATTAACAGAAAAACAAAGCTGGAATAGTTGGTCTCAAACAGAGACTTCAGGAACGAGAAAATTCAAATAGTCATTTTTATTTATACATACCACGTAGCCCGGGTTGTCTCGTCATGAGCAGAGAGATCCAGTTCGGTGATCCACATGGGCAATCCTGAACTGCCGAGGATGTCGAGCCGGTTCTGTGAAGACGTCAGTGGATAAGTGGATACATTAAAAGGATCCATGCTTAACATCTATAACCTTAGAATATTTTTTGGTATTATTTATATCGTTGAAGATTTTAAAATTGAATTTCTTGCATTCATAATTAATAGTGTCCAGGAATGAGTATAAAGGGGTGGGTAGGGGGCTTTTCCGCCCAGGGGGTATTTTTTTTCTTTATGTTGAGGGGCGACATTATCGAAAAACTGCAGAATTTTCGTAGAATGTTTTGTTGTTGTTGTTTTTTTTTTTTTGGGGGGGGCAATAAGATTGGCCCATCCAGGGCGGCTCCAATTCTAGCTACGCCACCGGCCATAACCGTTTTACATAAGAGGCCTCTTCCCCTACCTTGACGAGAGTGAGATCGGGTTCTGTGTAGTCAGTATAGTGACTCTGTATGCCGACACCAGCCAGTCCAACATTGGCCGCCTTCAGTCGGTTGATCTGGTACAAGTAGGCCTGCAAGAGAGGAAGACGCTCGTAAAATGAGTTCAAGTCTTAGAACTGCGGTTGTCGTTAATGGTGTTGACGGTTACATCACACACGGTGTTGGCGACGTGTAGATAACGCGTAACAAATATTTGTGCAGCAAAATATGTTACTCCGGGTTATTTTAACTTTTAGCCTTATAAATTTTACTTTTTTCTGTAACATAACTATAGGGCTTTAAAAAAAAATCCTTTAAATTTTGTTCATGGCTGGATGGAAAAATCTTCGGACGGCTAATTGACTTACTTCCCGACAAACCTTCGAGCTGAAACTTGGCACATAGACTCGTTGCAAATGACAACACATTCTATTAAACTGTCAGCCCCAACTCCCAAAAATCAGCTATTTTTCTTATTTTTCATGGGGACGATGAAGGACGGATGACACTAATTTCAAGAAATAAAATTCCCGATAACTGCGCTAAATAAGATTCTTTTTTAAAAGACAATATCGCAAGTGCGTTTGGTGCGTAACATTGTCTTTTGTTTTTCTGAAATATTTGGTGAAATAAATCTTCGGTGTAAAAGATGGTGGGACATAAGAATATTTATTTTATAGTTCAGGGGCGTGGAAAAAAAATGTGCAGTTGCGAGTGTTGGGAGGGGGTGAGCACTAACTGTGATTCTTAAAAAGTGCTTTGATTGTTTGCGTTTTTTTTTTCAAATTTTCAACACCCCTCCCGCACCCACTGCTCAATATTACATTTTATAAAGGATATATAGGAAAAACTTTGTTGGTTTTTGTTTTGTATTGTTTGTTTGTTTGTTGTTTTTTTTTTTTTTTTTTTTTTTTTTTGGGGGGGGGGGGGGGGGTGTTTTTTTTTTTTTTTTTTTTTTTTTTTTTTTGTTTTCTTTCTTTTTAATTTTTTTTTAAAACCTACCCGTGTTGAGATTCCCTGGGCCACAACGTTGTAGTCGTTGAGGAACAGCTTCGGTGCTGGATCAGCCGCGTGCACGGCCCTGTACAGATGTTGGATGTACGAGTCGTCGTTCAGTTTCGACTCGTAGAAATGGGCGTGGAGATCTTCGTTGTAGATATCCCAGTGGGCGAGCCTGGGGAGGTATTCGAGGGGAGTTTTATGTAAATATTTATGCTAGATTTGTTTTCTGCAGCTCACTCTCGCCTGAAATAATTAAATCCTTACAGGCAGAAACCTTTTTTAGTTTGGATAAAACTTAGGATAAACTTCCCTACATTTTCTCTAGCTGAGGGGCAATTTTTCAATCGGAATACTTATTTTGGCTCTTCAGCCCAGCATGATGGCAGCTCTTAGTAAGGAGGTCAAGGCCGAGGGTTTTATTTTGTGTCAGTTTTTGTATTATTCTGTGTTTTTATAAATTTTGTGTGTTTTAGGTTGGGTTTTTTTTTCGTAATGAATCACCACCCTTGGCGTAAAATATAAAAATTGACCCACCCCCCCTCCCAAGATTTCTCATAGCAAGAAGATAGGGAAAGTCTTATGCTGTAAAAAAAAAAAAAAAAAAAAAAAAAGTTAATATTAAATATTTTGCAAAAAAGCCGTTTCCATCTTCAATAACGTTTCAAAACGGACTTACTTGCCCTTGGTGATGCCCGTCATGTATTTGATGCGGTTGTCGACGGCGTCCTTGAGGGCTTGGCCTGATAACCCTTGAACCCAGGTCGGTGTTTTACCTGGCTCAGCCCAAAACATGCAGTGGCCTCGTACATTCAAACTAAAATAATATTTATTTTTTTAAAACAAGAAATGTATTTAAAAATTTAGTTATAACGAAACAATGAATGGACAAATACATATTTTGTAAGAAATTATTAAACAATAAATATTGATTCAACAATTTGTAAAAATGATGATTTTTTTTTGATTTTTTAAATGAATGATTAAAAAATGATTAATTAATTGAACAATGAGTTTCGTCAATCAAAATAAATTTTAAAATTAAGTTAATTTAAAATAGATAACACGAACTCAACCTGAACCACAGAACAATAAGACTTTCAAGTCTTGAAACTGTTTTGACCAAAGCCCTCCTCCCACCCCCACCCAATTTCCCTCACCATGCAAATCACCATACTATTTACTAAGTACAGTAGATCCAAAATTTACGTACCCCAGTTTCTTAAGTTCGTCAGTGGCAGTCAAGGCTTGAGAAAAGTCGGGGTGACCCTTGGAATTAAGTGAGGCAAAGTATCAAAAACACGTATTAGGGTATATGTAAGCGATCTGTAAAGAAAACAAGCGAAGTAGGTATTCGGGTGTCTTTAATAGCTTGGCAAATATTAAGCAAATTCTTTCAAATTTATCTATAAAAGTAAGATTTAAGTCAGGACACAACACTGAATAAAGTATCGGGAAAATGTACGGCTTTAAAAATAGGATAACGATACATGTAGGTCTATTGTAGTTTTATGTTAAAATCTGTCAGTGTTTATTATGTAAATGCAACTATGGTATCATTGAGTTACAGCTACTGGGAGATCGATGAACTGACCAATCACCCCAAGAATGATGTCATCGAGTTACAGCTACTGGGGATGAACTGAACTATTACCCCCCCCCCCCCAGACTTACTGGTTGTCCCTTGTCGAATGTCCACTTGTAGTCCTGCACCACCGCCAGTTGAACATGTAAGTCCCCAAGAATGATGTCATCGAGTTTCAGCTCCTGGGGATGAACTGAACTATTTCCCCCCCCCCCCCAGACTTACTGGTTGTCCCTTGTCGAATGTCCACTTGTAGTCCTGCACCACCGCCCAGTTGAACATGTAAGCGACGATATCCCTGTACCTCTGATGGCTGCTGCCCACCATGTAGTCGGGACGGATCAGGGTCCCGAAGCCGAAGAGATGCTTGGTGTGCTCTATCTGGTTGGGACAGCGTACGGGAAAATCATTAGGCGTTTCCCGCAGTGCGCCTTTCAATGGTTGATTTTGCGATAACTGTTCATATAATTATACAGCGACTAAAATAGGATCATTAGGGAGTCAGCAGACGTGACCATACGTGGGTCTTAGAAGTCCTAACAAAGACCAGAGCAAAGATCATTAGGGGAGATTTTGGGTTTAGCATATTCCATTATGCCGGTTAAGGCATACGCCCAATCAATGCAGAGCATATCTAAAAGTATCTAGAACTATTTGTAACTATCTAAAAGCAAAGAACGCAATACACCGGTATTCTCCAAATGAAAAAAATTAGACAGGAAGGGAGTTGGATAATTAAGAGTGAGTCATTTCGTTTCGCTGGGTCATTTCATTAGCGTGGGTCATTTTGTTTAGGTGGGTCATTTCGTTGGAGTGAGTCATTTCATTGCAGTGGGTCATTTCGTTTAAGTGGGTCATTTCGCTGGAGTGGGTCATTTCGCTGGAGTGGGTTATTTCGCTGGAGTGGGTCATTTCGCTGGAGTGGGTCATTTCGCTGGAGTGGGTCATTTCGTTTAGGTGGGTCATTCCTTTGGAGTGGGTCATTTCGTTGGACTGGGTCATTTCAATGGAGTGGGTCATTTCGTTTGATTGTGTCATTTCGTTGCAGAGGGTCATTTCGTTACTGGGTCATTTTGTTGGAGTGGGTCATTTCGTTGCAGTGCGTCACTTCATTGGAGTGTGTCATTTCGATGGGAATTTGGGGGGAAAATGGTTATCTGACTTGAAAACGCTGTAAAGGAATGACTTGTAAAAATATGGATAGAGAATGAAGGACTCCGTTCCAGCCGTTTGAAGGAAATGGAAAAATATATGTGGAAGCTTGAAATATAGCGACAGGACAACACCTAACCAAAAAAAAAAAAGAATATTATTGGCTAAGAGTCTTCCTCAACAGACAGGACAAATGAAGAAACAACAAGAAATAGAATTAATCATTAATGTCATAATGGAAATATGACGCATCTTTCGGACTAAGAAATATAAAATCTTTAGTTTTAAAATGTGATTATGTGACCATTTCTGCCTATATAAACATATCATTAAAATGAGCTTCAAGGAGAGATGTGTTGATTACAGGTTATGATATTTAGTGTCAATAGTAATAAAAAAAAACAACACAATTACAAGTATATCTAAATGTTCTTTGAAACTGATTTTTTTAAAATAAAAAACAGAAGAAAATCACTGTTAAAGAGAGTTGTCTCCACTTACCCGCACTTTGACGTCAGCCGCGTTGTAGTGGGAGTCAAGATGAAAGCTGTGAAATGTAACAGAGTAGTTGTTGTGGTTGGGATCGCGCCGCTTAGATGAGATTCTTAGGCGGATCGGTTCACTGAACACGACGCATTCAGACTTTAAGTAGCAGAAATGAACCCCTCCATAAACTATTTTGTCATAAGTAATGTCATTAAAAACATTATTGGTTTTGTTTTTAAATGGGTTTTATTTTAAAATAAATATTTGAAGTTAGTTTGTTTGTGTTTGTTGTGGTGTTGTTGTTTCTTGTTTTGTTTTTTTGAGACAAAAGTTACACAAACCGTATGAAAATAATGAAATTTGCTAAGTTCATTGATGCCATTGGGACTTTAAAAGTTTTAATCATAGGTGTGGGAAAAGAGGGAGTTGGGAGGGGGGGGGGGCTTTTTTTTTTAGAGCGGGTTTTTTTTGCTATACTTCATACACTTTATATTACCTCTATGCTTTCTATTTGGTTTGTGGCTTTGGTTTTTTCTTTTTAGGGGCAGCAAAATCAAGGACGCCCCGGGTGTCAAAAACTCTGGATACACCCCGGGGTTAAGTTATTTTGGGGGGGGGGGTTTTTTTTTTTAGAGCGGGTTTTTTTTGCTATACTTCATACACTTTATATTACCTCTATGCTTTCTATTTGGTTTGTGGCTTTGGTTTTTTCTTTTTAGGGGCAGCAAAATCAAGGAACGCCCCGGGTGTCAAAAACTCTGGATACACCCCGGAGTTAAGTTATTTCTCCCTCACTGTGGAGTCATGAGAGTCTCTTTCGCTCAGCAGTGAGTGGGAACAAAGTAAATAAAACCTTTTGTTTTTATTAATGGTAATTTCACGGTTTTACAAAGTGTATGCTCGTGCTGATAGTCAACTCACTTGAAGTGGATGTTGCTCTTCCTGTTGGCTTCAATCCTGGCGTTGGCGTCCGCCTTCCAGTTGGCGCTCTCCACCAGTTCATTCAGTGACATGTCATCCACGTAGAAGTCAACGCTCGCGAGAGGGCCCTCGACGTACACTCGTGCCTGGGTGTACTCTAATCATTGGGGAAAGGAAAATTGCCAAGAGGATTATCACAGCAATCAACGCCGGCCTTTAGGGTGTGCGACCTGTGCCGGTAAATACTTAAATTTAACTTAGTTTATTATAGTGAAGTGTGAGCCTCGGGTCTAAATTCATGCGCACGTTATAATGCGTATGGTCAGCTACATGTATTAGCATCATAACACGTGCTCCACAGCCTACGTCGTCATCGGAAAAAAGCGCGGAGCCACTCAGGGACAGTGAAAGGGGGGGGGGGCGTCGAACGGTTGCTTCGCACAGGGCGAAAGTTTACCTAAGGCCGACGTTGCAGCAATGAATAATTGATATCTTATATCTGTATAACATTATAGTTCTTATATCTGTATAACATTATAGTTCTTATATCTGTATAACATTATAGTTCTTATATCTGTATAACATTATAGTTCTTATATATGTATAACATTATAGTTCTTATATCTGTATAACATTATAGTTCTTATATATGTATAACATTATAGTTCTTATATCTGTATAACATTATAGTTCTTATATCTGTATAACATTATAGTTCTTATATATGTATAACATTATAGTTCTTATATCTGTATAACATTATAGTTCTTATATCTGTATAACATTATAGTTCTTATATCTGTATAACATTATAGTTCTTATATCTGTATAACACTATAGTTCTTTCAAGTTTTTTGTTGCTTTTTAATTTATTGCTGAAATGGCGAGTTATTATAGACCGGTAGGTCCAAGGAGAAGAACTCATAGCATGTTGAAACTTTGGGAGAGAAATTCTGACACGCTGCATATATAAATCATTAGTGGGATTTTTGTTCCTCTTCAATTTCTTTATTTTACTTGAAGAGATCAAATAACGTTGTGAGAATGGAAGGTTTTGTTTTTTCTAGTTTTCTTGTTGATAGTTTTCTTTCCTTTTTTCTGATCTTTTATTCTTTTTTTTTTTGAGGGGTGAGTGAAGTGAGATAATTTGTTTTTTACAAATGACACAAACAATTCAAAGAATATAAATGTCCGAAATTTCTTAATTAATTAATTTAATATCAAAACCAGTTCATCTGTTGGACTTCGAGAATTAGTAAAAAATTTTCCGATGGTCTGACGTCACAGAAACAGCACTCGAGGTTCTTAAACTCAAACAGTGATATACTGTTTGGCTACTCACCTTTGTTTGTTGTGGCCCACTCACCTTTGTTTGGTACTTTGAAGTTTCCGCCGATCTGAACCCAGTCGTCGGCTGCCGTCATGTAGGAGTGTTTGGAGACCCGGATGTACTCGTCAGGCCCTGCATGGTTTACGAAACAAAAAGTAATTGCGGACCATCAAAACAAAGAGTGTTAACATTTCACTTAAAGAATAAGTGAAAAACATTTAAAGCACCCCGTGGGTGTGGACTGTGGTGGATCTGTGGCCAGAATGGTTGTAACAAAAGGCACACCTTCTCTGTTTGCGTTTGAAGGAAAATAAATAAAAAAATTATTTGTCAATTAATTATTATTTTTTTTTTTTTTAAAGTATGATACTGACCACCATTTTTTGGTTTCAGGTCGACTGTGACAACAGGTTCCTGGTGCGCGTTGACCCCATTGGCCAGCTTGATGAAAGCGCTGATGGTGTATTTGCCTCCAGGTTTGAGATGCACTATCTGGGCTGGTCCTTGATTATGGCCGGTTCTTTAAAAAAAAAAAAACACACATAAAGCTCTCCATAAACATAAAATAATTGTTGATCCAAATACGCTCCAAATCCGCCCCCAACCTCATAACTATTATAATAAAATAACCAGTGGCGTAGTTAGGGAGTTGGGGGCCCCGGGGAGGCTTGGCCTCTTTAGGGGCCCTGCATTTTGACATTCGACATTATTTAATGTAAAAAAAAAAATTCGGACACGCCTTTGGGGCCCGGGGGAACTTTCGATTTTGGACCTCCCTCCCCCCTCACCTAGCTACGCCAATTAAAATAACGCAAATTTAAATACGATTTGAACAATTTTAAAAAAAAAAAAAGGAAATAGATCATAATTAAACTCGTTCCTAATATGTAATAATAATAATAACGCAAATTTAAATACGATTTGAACAATTTTAAAAAAAAAAAAGGAAATAGATCATAATTAAACTCGTTCCTAATATGTAATAATAATAAAATATATAGGACATATATTTTGTTTTAATGAATGGTTCGGCCAAAAAACAACGAAATACAATCATAATACTGTAACTAACCTTCCGGAACATTTGACGGCGGCGTTTCCGCTGTGCACGTGAGTGGTGTCCGTGCTCAGGGTGAAGCCGTCGCTGTGCCAGTTGGTGATGCCGTTCTCGAAGCCAGGGTTCAGGAGGATCTCGGCCGTGGTCAGGGCAAGCCACAGACACAGCACGGGCCACCAAGTCGCGTCGCTGCTTTTCAACATGTCCGTTGGTTTGAAGGAGCACTGTCCGAGATAAAGAAGTGGCTCTGGGTTCTTATAATGTCACTCTATGGACTTTAACTTTCGTTGGCCTTGATTCTTGGACTACATTTTTTTTTTTTTTTTAAATGAGCGACCAGATTGAACTGTAATGTAACTTTTGTTGGTTTGGTCTTGTTCTTTGGTGGTCGTGTTCATTGGTGGTCGTGTTCTTTGGTGGTCGTGTTNCTCTATGGACTTTAACTTTCGTTGGCCTTGATTCTTGGACTACTTTTTTTTTTTTTTTTTAAATGAGCGACCAGATTGAACTGTAATGTAACTTTTGTTGGTTTGGTCATGTTCTTTGGTGGTCGTGTTCATTGGTGGTCGTGTTCATTGGTGGTCGTGTTCTTTGGTGGTCGTGCTCTTTGGCTTATTTTTGTTTATTAATCTTTTTCTTTCCTATACCTTCCACACAAAAAAAGCCAATTGTAGCCAATACTACAAAATTACAAACTGGTTTTTATCAAATTGATAACTGTTTTAGTTTATTTATTTTTTTAAACGCATCATTTTGGAAAGCAATGGTTTCGTAAGTTAAAACTGTTTTGGATAAAATACAGTCTTAAGTTTAAAATGTTAACAATTTGTAACATATGTGTTAACCGTTTGTTTGTTTTCTGTTTGTTTGAGTGAATGGTTCCGTCGTCGTATTTCATAAGAGCATGAGGCCTCTTGAAAGTTTCAAACTGTAAAAATGATATGGACCTAATCAAATTGTTGAACATACTTAACGAGACATTTACGCCGGTTGTAAGCGTGTGTGTGGGTGGGGGGGGAGCGGGATGGTGTTAATGTTAAAGACAACTTTGTAGCACAATTTCAAAATATTAATTGTTTTCTATGCATAAGATACTTTCTTTGGGGGGGGGGGCATCAAGATGGGCGCCTGTGTTGCCCTTGCTTGGCAACCTGTAGTTAAACCACTACCACAAGTCAAAACCTAAGACAGCTACGGTATTGAAATGACCAAAAAAAAATAATTACATACTCAAACCAAGGGTCAGGATTTAAAAAAGAAAAAAACTTCACAACTTTTTTATCTTTTGAATGTACAATTGGGACAGAGGTCACCATGGTGGTGGTTCAATAACCGTTCACGATTATTTGTCGACCAATCAACCTGAATCTCCAAATCGGAATCAAGATTTAACAATTTTTTGTTTAAAAATCACTTTGCTTGTGTAAAGATAAGAGACGCAAAGGCAACGTTTAGTATTTGGTGATTACAAAAATGTATATATCTGAAACTTTTGACAATCAATTTGAAATTAATTCATCCTTACGATGACATCACCTGCCATGAATGCCATGTTCTCCCCCCTCCCCCCCCCCCCACTTGGTAGATCTTTGCTACGCCCGATCCGATTTTACCAACAATCGTGAACTCACTTTTCCTCCCCATTTGGGCTATGTTAACTCTATTACTTACAAGAAAAAAAAAACTACCTTGTTCCTCTTGCTGCCCTCTCGGATACAACGTCTCGGATACAACATCTCGGATACAACATCTCGGATACAACATCTCGGATACAACATCTCGGATACAACATCTCGGATACAACATCTCGGATACAACATCTCGAATACAACATCTCGGATGGAACAATTCAGCTTAATTCAGCAATTAACACACGACTTGTATTAGTCGCTGTCTGTTCGCCGAAGGAGGCTTCATGCCGAAACGTTCGCTGTTTTGTTGCGCACCTTTTTATTACCAGCTTTTTTCCATAACTTGTTTCAAAAATTGCATTTCCTTCAATGAATTTTTAACAGCTGACCGAGAATCCGCTTCACTGTTTCATGTGCGATAGCCTCCATGTACGTCAGATTGTTCTTTAAATATTTTGTCGCCGTTTGTTTAGAGTAATTGGAGTGCATCAGAATCCATGAATAGGAGATTAAACTGTATAATCTTGCTCCCAATGCTTATTCAGTATGCCTCAGTAATTGCTCCCCTGTGTACATTCAGTGGGCCTCAGTAATTGCTCCCTGTGTACATACATGAGTTTCAGTAATTGCTCCCCTGTGTACATTCAGTGGGCCTCAATAATTGCTCCCTTGTGTACATTCAGTGGGCCTCAGTAATTGCTCCCTGTGTACATTCAGTGAGCTTCAGTAATTGCTCCCCTGTGTACATCCAGGGGCTTCAGTAATTGCTCCCTGTGTACATTCAGTGAGCTTCAGTAATTGCTCCCTTGTGTACATTCAGTGAGCTTCAGTAATTGCTCCCCTGTGTACATTCAGTGGGCCTCAGTAATTGCTCCCTTGTGTACATTCAGTGTGCTTCAGTAATTGCTCCCTTGTGTACATTCAGTGAGCTTCAGTAATTGCTCCCTTGTGTACATTCAGTGAGCTTCAGTAATTGCTCCCTGTGTACATCCAGGGGCTTCAGTAATTGCTCCACTGTGTACATCCAGGGGCTTCAGTAATTGCTCCCTTGTGTACATTCAGTGAGCTTCAGTAATTCCTCCCTTGTATACATTCAGTGAGCCTCAATAATTGCTCCCTTGTGTACATTCAGTGTGCTTCAGTAATTGCTCCCTTGTGTACATTCAGTGAGCTTCAGTAATTGCTCCCTTGTGTACATTCAGTGTGCTTCAGTAATTGCTCCCTTGTGTACATTCAGTGAGCTTCAGTAATTGCTCCCTTGTGTACATTCAGTGAGCCTCAGTAATTGCTCCCTTGTGTACATTCAGTGTGCTTCAGTAATTGCTCCCTGTGTACATTCAGTGAGCTTCAGTAATTGCTCCCTTGTGTACATTCAGTGAGCTTCAGTAATTGCTCCCTTGTGTACATTCAGTGAGCTTCAGTAATTGCTCCCTTGTGTACATTCAGTGAGCCTCAGTAATTGCTCCCTTGTGTACATTCAGTGTGCGTCCGTAACTGATCATTATCCAACATCGTGTGTTTTCATGTTTGAAGCGTTCACTCAGTGGATGTGACTTTATTTCATAATCCCCTTCTTGACGCGGCCTACGCTGAAAATGGTTGGTCATTCTGGTGCAAGTCATCAGACGGCTGGTGATAGTTAAAATGTTTGGCTTCTGAACGATTTCGAAGAAATGAATTTCGAATCGTTGACATATTTTTGTGGTTGCTGGAACAAGTGGACAGTTTTGTGTTGTAACTCATTTCATTACAGCCTGGTCCCGGAAACAGTAGCGCACCATGTTGACCAGCCGTCCCTCGCTAGATGTCCCGGGGGAACCCAGGGTGGTTGGAGAGCCCTTCGTGAGGAAAACGTTGTACGGCTCAGCTCAGCAGATGGAGCTGTTAGCCAATTTACTAGGCGGGGTCATAAGAGGCTAATCTCAGACCCTCGCCAGAATATGTGTTAGTTTAGTGTCGTCACTACAGTTCTAAAAGTCCACATACACTGACTGTCATCCTCAGATGGCCTACTTTATTTTACTATTTTTGTTGGTCTTTGCAATCTGTTTTTGGTTCCATGGAATACTTTGGACTAACTTCCGTTGGGCTCCAATGTCGACGCCGCCAGTTGGCTGTCATTGCAGTGGTTCTCAACTGAATAATTTTCTCTTTTTTTTTGGGTCGCTCACCGAAATAGAAAACAAATAACAAGTTATGAAGATTTCATATTACTGCATCTATTTATATAGGTTTTTATCTTACTGTGAATTAATTTATTGTAACACATAATCGCGGTCTCGGGTCACTTTGTTTCTCTTGAATCGAGTTGCGATTCACAATTTTTGTAAAGTAATATTAAATGAAGGACTGTGTTCAAGCCGTGTGAAGGAAATAGTAGCACAGGGCATGTGGAACCTTGAAATAGAAAGACAGGGCAATAAAAGAAGAATGTTGAAGCTAGGAGCCTTCCTCGGCCAGCAGACGGAAACCTGTGTTTTAAAAGAATTATAACAACTGGAAAAGGAAAGCTTGCAATCTAGAACACACGCTCACACAAAAAATCACAGTACATTTCAGCTTCTCTTCCGAGCAGAACAAGGCCAAAGAAGGAGACAGTGTAACTTAATTTAATTAAAAAGAATTTCGCCTGAAAATGGAAATTGAACCAGGAATTTCAACCAAAAAAAAGTGTGTATTAATTAAGATCAAAATTGTGGAATTATGCTTATGGGGGGTGTCACATATTCGTTGGATCTAATTTCAGACTACTGACTATTTTATTTTGGTATTGTCTCTCACTTCATCACAACACTGAATAGTTCATTTTACACTGTACGTTAATTTCACTTCATCACAACACTGAATAGTTCATTTTACACTCTACGTTAATTTCACTTCGTCAAAACACTGAATAGTTCATTTTACACTCTACGTTAATTTCACTTCATCACAACACTGAATAGTTCATTTTAAACTGTACGTTAATTTCACTTCATCACAACACTGAATAGTTCATTTTACACTGTATTAAACAAAAATCCACTTGGCACACAAACGAAATAATTCCTTAGCTAGGTCCAGCAGAAAAAGTTAGTACCAGTCCCCCCGTGAATCGAACCAAAACAAAACTGGTCTTTCTCTGCCTCAAATCGCTCTCTCCCTTTTAACCCCAAAATCCACACAATCGTACTTGCTATGACAAGTGTTCACACTCGTTCACTTAAGCCAATTGCAAAATACACAATACCCACACACAATACTGTGTTGCCATGACCCTGACAGTGGCATTTTGGTAAATGTATATTTCTGCTCATATGAATGTTACTTTTCTTTAGTTATTGGTTGAACTGGTGAAGGCATTTGTTGAAATGTGGACATTTGTATCCTGTGCTACCATCATTTTTGCTGAAACCAAGAATTATTTCATGTAAGCAATTAGTGTCTGTCTCATTAACAATTTTTAAACTGTACATTTTTTGTGTCTCACATTCTGACATTCTAACAGTCTCGCAGTCTCACATTCTTACAGTTTCACATTCTAACAGTCTCACAGTCTCAAATTCTTACAGTCTCACAGTTTCACATTCTAACGGTCTCACAGTCTCAAATTGAAAAAGTCTCACATTCTCACAGTCTCACATTCTAAAAGTGT